GTTAATGTCTTAGCCCCAGCTACCTCTGAGCTCAATCCCGGCTGGCCAGGGAGTGACCTACATGGCACAGCAGACCTCTCCTGTCTCAACCGCTGCTCCCCTCAGCAGTGGATTTCAGCAGGTCCTCCTGTTCTGCTCTCCACTGTCTCTAGTGAATCTTCTCACACCCTGCATCTCTGACCTACACCCCAGTTCTTGTATGCATAGATAAAATAAATCCTTTAAAAAAAAATTGATGTCTGGACCTTCCCTGGTGGCACAGTGGGTTAAAGCACAGCACTAAGAAGCTAAAGCCACTGCAGCATGAGTTTGATCCCCACCTGGGAGGTGATCATATGGTGCAACAGACTTCTCCTGACCCGCTGGCTGCTCCCCTCACAGTGTACTTGGTCAACCTGCCTGTTCTGCTCCCCACTCTGTCTCTGGTGAATCCTCTCACCACCCCTGCACTTCTGGCCTGTACTCCAGTTCTTTATGCATAAATAAATAAATCTTTAAAAAATTGACTTCCAAACCACCTTTTCATAGGAAGCCAACTGGGCCAATACTTTATCAAAACAAAGGAGCAAAACCAAGAGACAGGAAGGCAATGGGATCCAGGAAACAGAAACTCTAGTACAGACAGGTAAAAGTTCCAGGATGGCTGGGACTATTGTTTTTATTTATCATAGTCTTTTAGCACTATTTGATCTTTGTACCATTTGCCTCTATTACTTTGATTTAAAAAATGAAGTTTAGTTTAATGGGGAAAAAAATGGTTGGAAACACTCAGTAGGAAATTCCAGTTGTAAAAAAAAAAAGAGAAGAGATCAAAAGGACGAGAATCCTGGAGAATAAAGCTGAGCATGGAGACTGTGACCCAGAGCAGAATTGGCTGAAAGCAAAGACAGAAACTCGAAAGGCTGGTGGTGTGCTTGCGAGCATGCAGACCGAGGGCAGGAGTGCCAGTCTTCCCCTTGTAGGCTGCTTTCACTCAGGACGCGTGTACCCTCCTGGTGATGCTGGTGTGGGGGTGCTTTCAAGACTTTCCAGCTCTGATTGCTATACTCCAGGGTGGGGCCTGGAGGGAGTTTGCCGGAATCAGTCTGTGTTCTCAGAAAAAGCAAGGGTTGGCAAGGAGTGAAGGAAACAGGGCAACTGGTCACAAGAAAGTGCTGAGGGAGTCACTGTAAAGCTGCCACTCACTCTTTCCTCGCCATCCCTACATCACCTCTCCCCTCTCGCCCACTGCTGGTCACAGACTGGATATGATGATGGCGCAGTCCAGACCTGCTCCTCGGGACTTAGCTCCCACCTCACCACTGTGTGGATGCAAGGCATCAGTCTGGCTGAGTGCTGTGGGGAAGTGGGGAGGCAGCGGCCCGTAACTGAGTCTCTACTGTGCTAAGCATGTCACGTTCATTTTACCCAAGTTACCGACTGCCTTTGGTGACTGTCACTATTCTTGACATTTTTGAGATGAGGATTGGTTGCAAAGCTAGTGAGAGGTAAAAATGAGACTTGACCCTGTTTGATTTCAAAGCAACCCTCCTTTGCTTTGAAGTATCCATATTGAGAAATGGATGTAGAAGAAGCGTAGAGACAAAAGTCAAGGAGAGAAATGGCTTGCAGTCTGGCAGTTAACACTGTCCTAATGAGTCATGAACTGGAGTTGCTTTCACTTCTGACCCCTTGTTAAGTTTCTAGGATCTTCTGCTTCCCTTGTCAGTCTACAAAGTCACTGGATTTTGCCATTTGATACTTCAAAAATTAATTTTCTTTTAACTTTAGATGATATGTGTGGGTATCTCCAAAACAGGGAAATGTGACCAGATTTTGTCAGCACAGGCTGCCACAGCCTACCCCTTTCTCCCCAGGACCTGACTTGTGAGAGACCAAGGCAGCCCCCCTTTTCCAATAGTCTAGATGTCTTTGGCTGGGCTGGTGGTTGTCCATAGCCCTTGGGCTCTTAGGGGTGAGAAATAGATTCTCTTAGGACATATTAGAGTTGGGGGATAAAGGTCTGAGGCAAGTCTCAGGTAGTACCAAGGTCTTCGACACCTCACATTGCTTTCCATTAAAAGCCACCACCTTTTAATAACAGTGATTATTATGCACTTAGTCCGTTATCTCAATTCTTCTCAGCTCCATTTTAGAGATGGGCAATCTGAGACTAGGAAACACAACACCAAGCCTGTCTAGTCAGTAAGCATGGAGACCTGTACTCCCAATTCTGTTAAAACCCTTATTATCTAACTTTACCTTTTCCAGTTGTATACCCAACATCCTTTTTAGGCATTCCTGAATGTGAGAAGAAGGGGCTGCAGTTCAAGAACATGAAAACTGCAATAATTTCAAGGTTACCAAAAAGTTGTGTATGAAACAAATTCACACCTGTTAGCATTTCCTACAAAAGAACTCATGATTGGAAGGGACCATAGTAATTCCATTCATGTGTGATCCCCCCCCCATTATAGCTAATTAGTGTGACTGAAATATCTCATTCACATATACATACCTACATACATGATTAATGAGTAAAATAAATGTTTAAGTTTTATTGGAGGATATATCAAACTCTGACCATTCTTTTTCATTTTTTTTTTATTTCCTTGGGACTCATCTTACCTAAAATGAGTGAAGGAGGATGTCATTTCCCACTAACTATGGATCAGAATCACCTTTGAGTTTTTGGGTGTCTCCATCAGACTTGAGAAGCATCTTGGGTCTCCTTGGTGGTTAAAGTCTTAGTGCTTCCAAGCCACTGCAGCGTAAGTTCCGTTCCCCAGCCCAGTAACTAACCCACATACCGCAGCAGACCTCTCCTGTCCCACTGCCCACTGACCCCCTCAGCAGTGTATTTCAGTCCACCTGCCTGTTCCACTCCATGTTCTATCAACCAACCCCCCCACCCCTGCCTACACCCCAGTTCTTGTATGCATAAATAAAAATAAAACCTTAAAATCTTTTTATTTATGCAAACAAGAACTGGGGTGTAGGTCAAAGGTGTGGGGGAGGGGAGGTGAAAGGGTTCACCAGAGACAGAGCATGGGTCATAACAGGCAGATAGACTGAAATACAGTGCTGAGGGGAGCAGTGGGGTGGGCAGGACATAAGAGATCTGCTGTACCATGTGGGTCACCTCCCTGGCTGGGGCTCAAACCTATGCTGCAGTGGCTGCAGAAAGCTTAATAGTGCTGTGGTTTAATCCCTTGTACCACCAGGGAGGCCCCAATAAAAATAAATCTTTAAAAAAAAAAAAGCATCCTCAAGAGATCATTGTATTACCAACATTTGTAATGTTTTCCTTTGCCAATCCCAATTTCCAGACACATCTTTTTGCTAATTAATCCAACTCTGTTTCTTCTGCCTTCCTAAAAGATAAACAGGTGGCATTTTTCTACTGGTAAATATCCCCTGAAAACTGAACCCGAAATGAAGAGAAAAAGAGAAACTCTTAAGACACCACTGACTCTTTTTTATTTTTAATAAAATAAAAGCTTCTCGTTAAGGCAGGTACCACTGCTTGGGTAAAAGTGCATCCACTAGTCCGCTCAGTGGGGCAAGGAGAATACTTGCCAAGTTTTCAAGTTGGGTACATGTGTGACGAGAGAAGGACTGAGCTAGTTTCAGGTGCAGCTGAGTCTGCTTTTCTACTGGCTAGCAGGTAAGGCTTTGTGGGGATGCAAATGTCACAAGGAAGTCTGAAAGCCACTGCACAGAAGGTCCTCAAATAACACCATTTCATTTCATTATACCATTGATGAACAAAACCCAATTCCAGCCAGTGCTGAACAAAGCAGCGTTATTCAAAGACCACTTTGGTTACATACCCTTTCACTGAGAGACAGTTTCCAAGAACCTATCCACAACATTAAATGAGGACTTAATGTATATGGAGCTGAAGTCCTTCCCAGAAGTTTGGGACGGAACTATCGCCTCAATTCTAAAGCTGGGGTAATAGCCCTTTTCTGGTGTTACAACGAGAAGTCATCAAAAAATGACCTTGCAGAAGAAGGCCAGCAAAGGAAGTGGTGTGTAAATGGTGGCAACAACGAACCATGGTTCTGATGCTGGACTGCGTGGGTGGGAGTTCCACCTGACTCCGTTCACCTGAAGCTGAGCCTGCCCATCCTAGCAGGGGTTGCTGCCTGGCAAACCGGGTCAATGTTGCCCCAAATTGGAAGGCCTGAGGGAGAATCTGGTAGGTCATAACAGCTGTCATCAAACACTTTCTTTTCCTTTAAAAATCAGCTCCTCTCCCTTTTCATAACTATGTTCTCTTAATGTCTACTTACTGACTAGAAAATTACCTTTCAAGACTCACACTGGATGCATTAAAAATTACCAGACAATACCACTATCTGGATTTCTCATATTGTACTATTGTTTCCGTCTTATAAAATGATGAATATTGGAATACTATCTTCTAAATGCCAAATTCCTAAAAAGCAGGATTTAGGTCTCAAGAGTACCTAACAGCACCTTGCTTAGCGAGCAAGCACTTGACACACATTTCTGCATGAAGGGGGCCCTGCCTGGCCTGCTACCTGGAAATGGGTCTATTGCTCAGTGAGTCATGCCACTGCCTGTCAAAACAAGTATCAGGGGGTTTTAAAACACTCTCAGTTCAAATGGCTTTCAGTTCCGTTTTCTGTTCTTTCCTTTCTGCCTGGGACCACTGAATAAGACCCCCACACAGGTGGCTCATCTCTTTGGTATAGAGGGAAACATAAGGACAAATGGCCTCTGTTATTTTTTCACCCTGATCATAAGAATGCTGTAGAAAAAAATCCTAAAATATTGTGGCACATGGGTTTCTAAGGTGTGCTGACTTCCCATCCTTGCAGCTCTTCCCAACCCTCTGCCCCAGGAATCTGCCACTCATCTAACATAGGGCAAGGTAGGGCGACTGCCACTTTCACTAAACATGTGACCAGTCGCGCTCGACCCAGCTAGGTAGGCAGCGTCACCGGATCAAGAACTCGGGCTCGGGCTCCTTGTGCCAAGCTGCGACTTACCTCGGAAGCACAGAGTTATGTGGCCGGGACTTTGCAGGGGATGCAACTTTAGGTTCTGGCCCAGAGCTCCCTGAAGATCCTGGCAGGGAGTCCTGCACCGGCCCAGGTGGGTTTGGAAGCACTTCCCTTGTTGAAGTCAGGAGATGCTCTTTATCTTTCACTTCTTTTTCCCGGGACTTGGCTTTGTGTTCCGCCAGAAGGAGGTCAAATTGCTTTTTCCGGCCTGGGACTGCCCTCCGATGGCTTAGCGAGTGTGTCTAAGGAGAAGAGAGATGAAAAGCACAGCCTCTTTGATCAGCACATAAACCTGCTTCCCCAGGCCCTCCATTTCAGAAAGAGCAATTCATGAGAATTTAGAGGTGCTTGAAAAGTCAACTTCAAGGCAACAGCTCCTGTTCTGTGGCTGGGAAGAGACCACACAAACGCAACCATGCCCTAGACTGCTGATGTTAAGAAGCCAAAGCTTCTTCCAAAAAAAAAAAAAAAAAAAAAAATGGCATAAGATGACCAGCTTCAGCGCAGAACCCACGAAAACCTCTCTGAGGCAAGGCAACCGTGCGGGAGTGCTAGAGTTAATCCAGGTGCAAGTGGGAGGCTCGATCTGGCCCGACACACAGAGCCACCAGGCAGAGAGGGCCACGCCTGGAGCCCAAGAAGCACTAGCAGTTCAGTGTGCCATATGGGGCTTGGAAATATCCAAGGGCGGGCGCCGCCTGGGGCCAGGTGTCCCCCTGGCCACCCCGGTGTGGCTGGATCAGGGGCGCGGCAGAGCGTCCTCCCTCCAGGGCCGCCTTTCAGGGCGCCGCCGCTGCCGCTGCCGCCGCCGCTGCTGCTGCTCCTGCATACATTAAAACGTAGCAGGGTTTAGAACCGCCTGTGAGTGCCTATAAATACAATTTACTGTCTGGCCTCACAAGTAACAGGGGAAGCCTATTTTTTTTTTTTCCTTCTTAAAAAGCCAGCCAGCTTGAGGCAGGCACTCTGCTACCATGGAAGAGAAGAAAGCATTTCCCTTACAAAGAACAGCTGGGGGTCATGTCGAGGTTCCACACCCTGCCGTGTGCAGTGAGTGGCATGCAAACATTTCGACAAAGGCCCCAGCGAGAGCAGGAAGTATTTTTTATGGAAAGAGAAATACCTTGCAGGTGAGGGATCTTGTGCAAGGTTTCTTTGTCTCGGGATCCAATACTCCACAGTGTTTATTTGGGTCAAATTCTCTCTCTGGTTTAAGAAACAAACAAAATATAAGAAAAAAGGAGACTAAATAGGATTTGGCATTAAGACTACATTAAAAAATGCACATTTGCACCAACAAGTGAGACATTGTCAGGCAATCTGTTTTGTTTTGTTTTGTTTTTCCTTTTCAACCAGCTGCTAAATGCTTCAGGAACCCTCTTGGGGTGGGGGTGGGGGTGGGGGAGAAATGGCGCTCTTCTCTGAACCCAGAGTCCCCAAGTCCAGCTTCAATGGGAATGCGGAATGCAGCACAAGGCTCAGGGAACAGGGTGGGGGAGGCATGGGAGGGAAAGGAGCAGAGGGCTCTCACACTTGACTTCACTTGAGACGGGCTGTAGACCTTGCAAGCCCACGGGCCACAGTCACTCTCCTGGGTGACTCCAAGGTACATCAGCCCCTTTCCTGCCCTGGCTTCCTGCTGGTTTTAGCCTTGGACGTGGGAGCTCCTTCCTCAACATGCCAGTGACCTGCCTCTGAGGTTCTGCAGAGTCCTCTGCACAGGGTTTCCACATAGTCTCGCTGACCAGAAAAATCATTTACCTGACGCAGGAACACTTTGGCAGGGTTGCAGGTGAGGGCAGGGACATGTCTGGGTAGGTGCCTTATGTGGGTGAGAACCGGAAGGCTCACAGTTCCCAGTACGCAGCCTGGTGCTCCAAGTGGGAATGACATAGGGGGGTGAAGGACAATTGCAGGAGGCCAGGTGTCCCCAGCTCCTCTCTTCTGACCAGACTAGTGATGTCATATATTGCCGCTACTTTTAGGGAACCTGTTCATTTTATGCCCACTTCGGATTCTTTACCCCTTTCTGAATTACAAAAATGATGGGAGGAGGACCCTGCAGGCTTGAAAGCTTTACCTCTCAGATGGTGTGTGTTGCTTCTGGAAGGCGTCTGTGCCCTACACAGGAGGAGTGACACAGCTCTTCTGGGCAGGCAGGGTGACGGGCAGCAATGTGTGTGTGTGTGGGGGGTGTCTATGAATTTGGTGGTGTGCTCTTAAGAGCCTGAATAGCTACAAACTTAAAAAGAGGTTACCTAACCCGAAAAACTGCCCAAATGTGTTGGAGTAAACCCTGAGCATAATAAATGTTCTATTTTTAAAAGAAGATTTGGGGTGGTGGTTGCAGCGGAGGTCATGATACTGATGCAATAAAACCATTCTTAGATCCAGATACCTGGTTGGCTATCAAAATACTTCCCACTGCTTTTGTGCTTGTCCTTTTTTTTTTTTTTTTAAGCTTCACTTTTCAGAATAGAAAACTGCTATGCCTGGAGATGCCCATTTACAAGTCCTGTCTGCCTACCTGGGCACCAGGCCACAGGCTACCTGGCATGGAGTTCTTTCCCTTGGGTCTGTGAGAGTCAGACCCGTGTCCAGACCCACAGCAGCACTCATACTGGCCTGGAACTGAGCGGGTTGTTTGGCTGTGGGTGGGAGCTGGCTGCCAACAACAGAAACAAGCAAGAGACCCAATGAGACAAAACAACCAACAAAGTGCAGTAACAACAAATAGCTCAAAAATCCCCCAGCGCCCCAACGACTTCAGACTGGGCTGCAGCGGGAAGGTCCAGTCACACTTCTGACACAAGAAATCCACACCCTCTGGACAACGTGTCCAGCTGGACCCACTGGTTTCCAGGGACTTTGCCACCCGCTTCTGCAGAGGGCAACTGAACTTATCACTCAGTCAGGAGTTGGGGTGCCTGTTATACAGTGAGGGCCCCTGATATTCAAAGTGAGTGCCCGGTCCTACCTCTGTGTTGGTACACAGAGAGATTTTCAGGGTACACTATTGTGTTATTTGAATGCCACCATGTGTGAAGAACATAAAAATTTATAGCTTTTTTTGATGTTCTGGAGAAAGCAGAACTGCCATATTTAGTTCTGCAACTAATCCAAAGCAAGTATCCTCCACATGGTGACCACTGCGCCAGAGAGCAGCCATTTGCCTTTACTGAGTGCTCTGGGGAGCTGCTAAGCAAGAGACCCAAGGAAGCCGCCCACTCCAAACACCCCATCTGCTGTGCCAGCCCAAGGCCTACCATCGGGGAACTCCAGCCTGATTACGCGGGAAAGGCAGCTAAAGGCCCAGACCAGACCCAACCTGGAAACCAACTAGGCTAAAGGGCAGAGGTGGCATCTTCCTCTGGAGCAGTTTCTGACGGACAGTCCCAAGCCTGCCCTGAGTAGCTACGAGATGTCAGAAAGACTGTCCAACCTCATGGCTATGGCACGTCTACCTGTCCTGGGTCATCTATCAGCACGATGACCAGCCCCTTGGGATGAACGGACTAGCGTGGCTGGAGCAGACTGTCCTGCCTCCTCGGCCACGAGGGTGACTCCCAGCAAGCACTAGCCCAGAAATAAGACAATGGTCGCTGCACTTTTTATGTGGGGGTCCTGTTTGCAATTATACATCCCCCTAAAATGAAACAGATCTGCTTAATTCTAAGAGCACATCACTCCTTGGTTACTATTGTGACTCATCTCACTGACGTTAAGGACACAGATACATACCTGAAAGTCTCCTGTAAGGCTTGTTGTTGTTTTTGGTGCCATTTTGGTGTTTCTTGTCTATTGTGGCAGATAGAATTCCTTTGCCATTTAAGATCTTCTCTGGGGAAGGTGGCACTGACTTGGACATCAAGACTGGTTTAATTAAAGGTGGGGTGGAGACAACAGAGGATGAGGTGGAGCAGGAGGTGACCGCAGTGGTGGTTGTAGAGTTCATTTTGACGTTGGCACCATCTGCCTTCACCAGGTTAGGGATTTTCTCTAAACTGACTACAGGAACTGGAACGCTGAAAAATAAATGAACAAACACATACAGTTGCCTTCTTTCATACATCTGGTTGGCTGAGAAGCTATACCTGCTTGTCATTATCAGAACACTTCCTTATCACTTATTTATACTCCTCCTGTAAGGGAGCAGCATGATTCCAGTTTTGATGGGAGGGAGGTTCATGCCTTGGAAAGGATCAACAGGGGGTTCAAGGCTGGAATGGTGCCAGGGATGGCATCAGAGCTGACTGATTACCTCCTGTTCCTGTTGTCCCCAGAGATCCTGCAGCTCCCCCTACTCAGTCTCTGTATGTCAGTCTCTTAGACAGCACCTTGGGCAGAACAAGGTGCCTGCTGTGAAGCTCAGGAAGAGATGCTGTTTGTCCCCTGATGCTGGGACACCACTGTGCCACTTGCTGAATCACGCCCCCACCCCCCAGCTGCTCAGCTGGCCTCCCACCCGGAGACGGGGCCTGACATCTGCTTAGCTCCATAGAGCTGACAGGCTCACACCACGCGGAGGCATGGCTGCAGGCCAGCATGCCACGCTACATGCTGTCAGAGGACTTCTGGATCACTCTTGCATCCTGGGGATGGGCTCAAATTGAGTGAGCCGCCATGTAACATTATCTAATATTCCATTTTAGGCAGCTAGTTATGTAAATAGGCAATTCTCAAGGCTGGCAGGTGAGAGGATGAATTTTAAGAAGAGAGAGCACAAAGGTATATGTTTGCTCTTCAGAATCTGTCACCTTAGCCCCATTTCCCTGCTATTTCTCCTGTAATGGATGTGCATTTGATTTCTGTGCATTTAATGCTGGAGGACTCTGCGTCTGGGGGCCTGGAGGAATCTGTCTTGGGGCCTTAAAAGATGAGATGAATATGCTTTGCTTTGGTTCCTGAGCAAGATTCCCTTTCCTCCTTGCAGGAGGGCAGAACACTAACACTTAAGGCCCCCAATCATCTGAGCTGAGTGTGCAGCCGACTTAGCTATTTGAATGCCAAATGATCTAGGATATGGCTCACACATGCCTGCAGACAATGTGGGGCATGAATGGGAGGCTGGTTCTGGCAGGGGAGGAGTCTTATCTGTCCACATGGCTGGCTGCTTTTCCCTTCTCTGAGATTCATTCACAGATCATTTCTTTGTTTAATTTGTCAAATTAAAGGCAACCCCTGCCCCTCTTCTGAAATAGGGATACTGATGTCATTGAGAAGGGCACTCAGTGGGGAGCAGTTTACCACAGGGCTTCGCCCCAGGACCATGGCTTTTTTGGTCTAGGGAAAAGTGGTGTGGGCCTCCTAGTCCCAGGTGAGGGAACTGGGATGGTGACTTTTAGCAATACTAGTTACTGACAACTCTACTCTTGATCAGAATGTCTCAATCACTGAAATATAGCTGAAATGCTGCTACCTTCTCAAAGCACTCACACACTACACAAGAGCTTGAAAAGTCAGCACTCTGAGAGGTTATGAAGACGTTACCTGTTGAAATTAGTGTTGCATTCCTGATATTTTCCAAATGGTAAATACTGCAAAATTGTGGGATATATCATCTCCTAGGTTCATTCCTTCACTCAATTTTAAAAAAACACAAATTATATAAATCAGGGTCTTGAAGAGTTATCTGTACACTTGTGTTGGCAGCAGTATAATTCACAATAGCCAAAAGGTGGAACTTCCAAGACTGGAAGAATGGAATATTATTCAATGCAAAGGAATATTATTTAACCTTAAACAAGGAAATTGGCTACACAAGGACTTGAGGACACTATGCTAAGCTAATGGAAAAAAAGACCAATGCCATAGGGTCCCACATAGAGTGGCCAAGTTCACAGACAGAAAGTACAATAGTGAATGTCAGGGACTGGGGGCAGGGAGAATGAGGAGTTTAATTATTAAAGAGTTTCACATGCCATTCACAGCAACATGGACGGAACTGGAAGGGATCACGCACAATAAAATAAGCCAGAAAGAAAAGGAAAAATACCGGATGGTTTCACTCAAAGGAGGATTGTAGGGGCCCAAATAAGGGACTGAGGGGAGGGGGTGGATATAATAATTATAACAAAGTAAAAAAAAAAAAAAATCCACAGGCAACTATAATCCAGAGACATTCTTCAGGGTGCCAGGAGAGAAAATGGTTTAAAACGGAAGAGAAGAGCACAAGGGTTAATGGTGATGGGGATTCCTGGGGGGGCCCAAACGTGTGGATAAAGCACACAATATGTGAAAATGAAGAATGATGTAAAAAATATATGATTTTAAAGTAATGAAAAAATTATTAAAGAGTTTTGGTTTTGAAAGACAAGCGTTCTTAAGATTTGTTGCACAAAAATGTGAATACTTAAACACTACTGACCTGTACATTAAATGTGGTTAAGATGATAAATTTCATTAAGCGTAGTATATCATAATTTAAAATTTTTGAAATGTAAAAACCAAAACACCACCCACACAAATTATAAAACTTATACAATTTTTATAGTCAATAAGCTTTTTAAAACTTTTTAAAAAGTTAAACTTCAAGAACTGTGAATATGTGGGCCACTATCCAGGTGAGAAGGTTTGCTAGACTTCCAAGTGACCTTCTCTGATAGACAAAACCAAGTTTGTTCAGGAAAGGAAAACAGGACCTTAAAATTCTAGACGTGGCTCTAGTCAGACAAGCCAGCGTGAGTACAGGGAAGGCCTCCAGTTTCTGTGAAAAGTACCCAGGGCTCAGGTTCAGCATTCATGTGCTCAGCAGACAGATACAATGCTGGAAGAGAATAATCCAGAATGACTGTATAAACGCAAATGCACTTAATAAAGGCCAACAGGTCCTGAGATGCTCACACTGCAGGCTGGTTTCTCCCTTAATTTTATGTCTGGCTCCAACATGTTCCTGTGAGGGTGCAGGTGCACTGGGTCTGGTCACCTGGAACTTTGCTGCTTGACTCATCTCTTTGGCAATGCTTCTTCCCAACTGTGTATCACTGAGATTGAGTCAGGCCAGCTCATACCTATGACTGACCTCCTAATTTGGAATTTCTCCACTATTGCATGCGTGGCTTATTCCTATCCACTGGTGCTTCTAGAATTCTAGCTGCAATTCAATCCCAGGGCTTATTGGCAGGATGTGGAATTGAAGCCCACCAGAAACCAGAAGGAAAGCCTGAAGTATAGTCCTCTGGGACTGAATATCCTAGAGAGGGATAATATCTGTTTCAAAAGGGGGCCTTCCATGGTGGTACAGGGGTTAAATCTCAGTGCTATCAAGCTATAGGCAGTCACTGCGGCATGAGTTCGATCCCTGGCCAGGGAGTGAACCCATATTGTGCAGCAGACCTCTCCTGCCTTGCTCACTGTTGCCCTCAGCAGTGTACTTCAGTAGACCCACCTGTTGTGCCCCCCACTCTATCTCTGGTGAATCCTCTCACCCCCTCCTCCCCTCACACCTGTGGCCTAGAGCTCCAGATCCTTTATGCATACATAAATACAATAAATTTTTTCTTTTTAAGAACATTTCAAAAGGATTGCAAAGACCTAGTGAGTCAGTAAGAAGCTGAACCACAGAGTAAACACTCCTGATGTCAGGTGAATAGGCCACATCTTGGCAGCTGGAGGAGAAGGGAGATGGAGTTGCTTTGGGTGGGAATTCGCAAGCATGTCCACTAGCTAATGAAATTATAGATAGAGTCAAGAAGAGGCTGGCAACTGCCCTAACACTTTTATCTTGGGCATCCTCTCTCCCCGCCAAAGATTTTGAACTTCCTTTCCAAACCTGCTTCTGACTCAAGACAGAGAAGCAGGCAGCTCCCCGGGAGTGGGGAGGCTCCAAGGCGCCTCGGACAGGGCGGGGAGGGAGTGAAAATCGTCCCTATTTGCCCTGGCCACCCTTATCTCCCAGTATAAATGTCAGGTATCCGTCCTGCTGAATACTTGGTTTTCTTTCTTTACTACTACATCCAACAGCCCCAGGTTCTGAACTGATGGAGAAAGGAAGAAACGATCACAAGATGGTGTTGTGCGATTTGGAAACCAATCCCAGAGAGTCAATCCTTTCTTCAGTTGGGTTCTGGCTGACGTTAAGACGTGGCTGAGCATCCAGACCCCTACTTCATGTACACACAGACCCCTGCCCACGTCTCTCCTCTGACAGCTGGGGAGCCATCACCTCAGGGATGTCTTCTGCATCCCCCCCATTGCCCCCTTCTCACTCCAGCTTTCCAGTCAGTGAAGAGTCCCAGCCCTGGGCAGGTAAAGGTCCCTTCCAGATGGCGGTGGGCCGTGAGTAACAGGTTTAATTTTTCTCCACCTGGACATGAGCCAAGACTGTAGCCCCTGCTTTCACAGCATGGGCATCTGCCTGTGGTGAGTGTACTCACACTCACGCCAACACCTCCGTGCGGTTAGGAGCTGGGGGGGTGGCTAGTTGGCAACACCTAGCTGACTAACTAAGCTGCCTGTTCTTCTGTTTGCTTAGGTGATAAACACGCCTGGCAGTGAGTTCTAAGGTTGGCTGGAGCCCCTAAACTTCCTTCCCTTTCAGCTTTAAGGGATGTACTCTCACAAGTCCTAAGTCCCACAATTAGTGGCATCTATCACCTCACTGCTATCCTCCCTTGGAGGAGCAGTGTTTGAAAGAGAAAGAAGAACTGCTCTTCCCCTGCTGCTTTCATAATGGCTGTTTTGTTCGCTAGGGATGAACTCTTTCAGGGAGCCCAGGGCTGCAGCGTGTTCCCCTGCTGTGTGTAATATACCAGGAGTAGTTATCTCCTTGTTATCTCTGTACTTCTGTTTCAGGTCCTAGGAAGGGATCCTTGTCCCTCGACAGACGGATGCAGCACACTGGCTTCTAGTGTGCTGTTGCGGCTGCTGTGGTCTTGCCTGTCAGAATGTGCCTTTCTGAGCCAAAGAGGGTCCTCCCGGCACCCGTAGATTCCCCACCCTGCTCAGTGATGCCTGCAAGTGAGCGGAGGTGGAAATCACACGGTGTTATTTGAGGGCCACCAAGGCATCTCGGGGGCCAGCTACT